CTTCCCTTACAGAAATGTGTAAAATATCACTCAAAATTTGCTAYGATGTTGCAACATCTAAAAGCAAAAGACCCCTGTAAGGGATCCATTTTCAGAACAACCTCTCTCTGCCCACTGTCCTAACTGTTCCRTCACATCATGGTCCCAGTGCCTAGACTTGCAGGCAGTCTGTCTTTGATTCATGTCTTCTTTTTTTTTTTTCTTTTGTTGTAGTTGTGAACTGTGGCAGCCCTAAAACCCTGACCAATGGTGTATTCAGCTACATTAACGAATCTGCAAACAACGAGTACCAATCAGTGATCTCATACCAGTGCAATGAGCCCTATTACCACATCGTCACTGGAACTGGCGGAGGTGAGTCTTAATCACACACACACCAAAACTTGTGCCTGGAAAACCCTCTCACGTTGTGCCTGGAAAGCCCAATCAGAATTGTCTTTTCTTCCCAGGCTTAGGGCTCATGCTTTTCTGCTTTGCAGACTCTCCAGTCTTTCCTTGATCCTGCAGCGCATCACTGGAGCCTTGTGGTCTCAGCCTATTCCCACCCTGCTTTATTCCCAGAGTCCATTACATCCCTCTTCCATGYTCCCCTTAACTTTTGCAGAAGGTCTTATTCTCTCCGCTGTAGTCATGGTTCATTCTTTTCTAGTGGATTTCATTCTTTCACTGAAATTTGAGGTATCGYATCTGGGAATCACCAAAATTCAAAAAACTCCCCACATCTGTCCAAGTTACTACAGTTGCAAATAAATAAGCGCACACTCTTCTCCATTGTAATGCTGCATAGCTTTTTGGAATATTGCTGAGCTGCAGAGATATCTAAGAGTTAAAAAACATACTTACAGAAAAATCTATTTTGATGCAGCAGTTCAGAAAAATTAAGTCATTATTCAAAACCATTCACATGCCTCCTTTTTACACCTGAGACATTACTTGATGATGCAGGATCTTTGATTCCAAGAACAGCACAAGGAGTTCATGATTTCCTGGCCTTGGTTGCTTATTTGCCATGCACAAAAGAAAAAAAAAAAAAAAATCAGCTGAATCAGCTTCTGGATACAGTTGCCAGCATGGACACATATTTGAGCTGCTTGCCAGAGAGAGCTGACACATTATTACTAAGGCCAGGAGCAAGCAGCTAAGGAGTTCTTTAAGTTGGCATTAATGTTCAATTTGATTATTCTCACCGCTGAGCTTAACTCCTTCATATAGAATCAAAGCTCAGTCTCATCAGAAAAAAGATCAGGAGCAAGTGAATAWCAGTGCTAGCCAAATTCTGATGGGGAGTCACCATAATTTAGTAAATTTTGAAAGAGAACAGGAAACACTTTTTTAAGGAGTATTTACTTCAAAGCAAAGACAAGTGGTGAAAGAATTATTTTCAGTCACCAGCACAAACTTGCTAAGAAAAGCAAGAGTGTTGGAGGTAGCAGAGTTTGTGTTGAGGTGACATGTGAATTTAGCTGACCTGCAACCTTGGCTCAGAAATAGATACTGAGCACGTACAGTACCTGACTCATCTGGTCCCCATTCCTGGAAAAAAAACACCTTGTCCTACTCTCTGCAAACTACCTACACCAGAAGCTAGAATCTAAAATCCACGCTTTCACCATTTCTTTCCCTTCTTTGGGCTTAATGAGGTCAAACGGTGCTCTGTACATATGTGGACACAGTGAAAACTTCACTCAGACGACCCTTCAGACCTTTCTTCTAAAGGAGCAGTGCCTGAGTTTTACTKCTCCCCTGGAACTGAGGTGCTTCAGGATGCACAGATGGAAACATTCCATACTTTACCACAGGCAGCTTTTCCCTAGAAAGGGTGCTTTGGGATGGAAGAACTGAGGAATCTCTTGAAAATATTCTATTCTATTCTATTCTATTCTATTCTATTCTATTCTATTCTATTCTATTCTATTCTATTCTATTCTATTCTATTCTATTCTATTCTATTCNTATTCTATTCTATTCTATTCTATTCTATTCTATTCTATTCTATTCTATTCTATTCTATTCTATTCTATTCTATTCTATTCTATTCTATTCTATTCCATCCCATTCCATCACATTCCATCCCATTCCATCCCATTCCATCCCATTCCATCCCATCCTATCCCATTCCATTCCATCCATCCCATCCCATCCCATCCCATCCCATCCCATCCCATCCCATCCCATCCCATCCCATCCCATCCCATCCCATCCCATCCCATCCCATTCCATCTCATTCTATTTTCCCACCCCAAGCTAACATGCCTGGGTCTCATTCCCTTCCCTCTCATCTTCCAGACAGATTCACCTGTTCTCCAGAGGGAACCTGGCTGGATCAAGATGGCCAGAAGATGATTCCATCCTGCTTGCCAGGTCAGTAAAAGCTCTGACTTTGTCTGGTATTTTCTGACTCATGCTTACAGTCAGTACAAAAGTGAGACTACATGCAGGGAGAGAGTGAGGATTAAAGTATTGGTGAGGGACAACAAGGAAGACTATCCAGGAAGCCAAAACAATGTAAAATCAAACAGTGATGAGGAAATGGTGAAGAAAGTGATGAGAAAATCAGAATGGTGAGGAAAGAGAGAGAAAAGCCAGTGCAACAGAGGGTGTCATGTTGTTGTGTTTCTCCACAGTGTGTGGGAAGCCAGTCCATCCCATTGTTGAAGTCCAGCGGATCCTGGGTGGCAAATCAGCAGGGAGAGGCAATTTTCCTTGGCAGGCTCTGACTGGCATCAATGGCCGAGGGGGAGGTGCACTCCTGGGCGATCGCTGGATCCTGACYGCTGCCCACACCATCTTCCCCAAAGGAGCAGCACGGAACAATGTGAGCCTGGAGCAGCTGGCAGAGGAGGCTGACGTTTTTCTCGGCCACAATGATGTAGATGAGCTCCACAAGATGGGTAACCACCCTGTACGCAGGATCTTTATCCATCCAGATTACAGCCCTAAAGATGAGCACAACTTCAAYGGGGACATAGCCCTGCTGGAGCTGAAAAACCCAGTAACCCTGGGCCCTACACTGCTGCCCATCTGCCTCCCAGACATTACCAACACCTCCTTCTACGCACACGGGCACGTGGGTTATGTGAGCGGCTTTGGCGTGGATAAAAACCGCATCTCAAACAATCTGAAGTATGTGAGCCTACCAGCAGTTGCTCGAGAGAGGTGTCAGAGCTGGCTGGACAGCAATAAGAAAGGGATCCCTATGGTTTTCACTGAGAACATGTTTTGTGCTGGCTTCCTCGAAGGCAAGCAGGACACCTGCCAGGGGGACAGTGGGAGCGTCTTCACGGTSTTAGACAGGGAAAGTGACCGCTGGGTGGCCACTGGTATCGTTTCTTGGGGAATCGGCTGTGCCACCGGCTATGGCTTCTACACCAAGATCCTCAACTATGTGGAGTGGATCAATGGGATAATAAAGGAGGATAGGCTCTAGATATTGCTGTCCTCCTAACTGAAGCATCACTGATAGCRTTTCCAGACACAGCAAATCATATCCAAAGCTTTTGATGATGTCCCAAAGGTTATTCCAACACGCAAAGCATGTAACCTTCATCACGAGCACTTCTGAAAGCCACCATACTGTGATTGCACCACTTGTGGGATGCCTTTGTGGATGTTCTGCTTCTTCCAAATCTTATTACTGGATAAAGCCTTAATATTATCAGGAAATCTCATGACAGCAAACATGTTATTGTTTGAAATGCTGACGATATCATGAGACTATTGCTGCCTACTTTTGTACTCTATTTTATGGGAAGGCTGTGGGGAAGAAGACTTCCTTGAAGGAAGGGGTAGTTTCTACTGAGTACAGTGTGTGTAWGCCCATTGGCATCGGTGAGATTCTATGAATATTAAAGTACTTGCTGGATAAACCAGGTGTTTTATRGTTTTCTCTCTTTGTTTTTAAAAAYGACTGAATATTCCCCACCACTGGAAGTAATTTATGGACTTTATWTCAGGATTGCTTTACCTACCATTACCGTGTTTCCAATTCTGCAGTGGCCTGTGGCAGCTGCTCATCTGTGCCAAAACTACCATTAGACTACCCAGTCTGAAACCCAGGTGGCTTCAAGGGAGGCAAAAATAGCTTGCCTGAGTGATTCCACGTTAAAAAAAAAAAAACAGGGAAAGCAACAAACAATCTCATGGAAAAAAGAGCCCAGCACCCTTTACTGATGAGAATTTAAGGATGGATTTTTTTAATACTATATGAAATAAAGCTTTAACTGCAGGATAGCAGCTCTAAAATGATGCTGACTCAGAAAAGGTGACCTCTCTTGTGTTGTGGATATTCTCTGGAGTTGTCTTCTTAACTCGTTTTTCTATTGCAGATAACCTACTGTATTGTTATAAGTCACTGAGAGAAACAAGATATAAAATCCTAGATCAACAATCMAATAGCCTTTCGTTTGTTACACAAAACTGAAGCTGCTTGAGCTGAGCTCAGGATTCCACATGAAATCTCCCAAGAGCTGTACACATCCTCCTCACCATTTCCTAAACTCTCAGGAAAACTCAGGCTAGAAAAAGATGCCTCTGTCCAATCAACTGCCAGCAGTGGGGCTAACTTCAGAGCTTCAGGGCCTGCCTGGGAAAATTATCAAGAGATCTAGGGTCAGAGATTCCCCAGTCTGTTGTGGCACTTGTTCCAGTGCTGACCCACATCCTGAAAAAGCCCAACTGGAAGTTTAGGTATCTGAATACAGCAGTTAGATTCCCCTCTTAGCTTTCTCCTTTTCAAGATGAACAATCTCAGTCTTTCAGTGTATGCCATCTGTACCAGTTCCCTGATCATCTCAGTGGAAGGGTGTCTGTGAGTGATATACGACCTTCTGGAGCAGAAAATRCCCCCAACATCTGTCAGATAATATTCCTTCACTAAATCAAGATAAGCTAGTGTTTTGGAAGAAAAATCAAGCTTTATTTCTTACCTAACACAATAAAATTTGAAAAAAAATAAAGCGTGAGGACAGGTGAATGGAATGATTTTGAAGATGTCTGCTCTGTTCAGCTTAATTCAGAAATCCAAAGTCTTCATTGCTGGTAATGGTTGCTCAGTGAGATGGAACCATCTCAGAATAAGTTCATAAAGACTCTTAGGCAGAGAGGTGAGGTACTACAAGTTACAGCTTGATGAAAGCTGCAGCTTAGTGGATCAGGATATGACCAGACACTTGATTTAGGGAGTTTCAAGAACTCAGTCTATACTGAGAAGAAGAAAGGCAACACAGACACAAGAGCACATTGCACGAAAGGCAGTTTGGACATTCTTTAATGCTGTTAGATATTCTGAACAGTACAGGAAATACATAAACCAGAAACCAGGCTCTGAACCTTCCCTGGAAACCAACTATTCATCTCTCTTGTCTTCATTGAAACCTCCTTGTCAGGTTTCAATGGGGCATGGCTAGGTCTTCTCCAAATGGGAAAAAATAGGATAGAAGGAAATGAAAGGAAGCAGAAGGAGTCTCTTTATTCAGAATAATGACTTCCTTTTACACTGCTATGAGTGGGAGAAAGAGAATTTCCCTTCCCAGATGTAATGACAATAGGAGAAAGAGATCCATACCCCTGACTCTCCACTCAGTGTAGACACAATGAGTTATACTTTGTTTTGTATTATATAAAAATATTACATATTGCCCATTATATGCACAGAGTGAACAGGGTCACAGCCAGCCCAAACATGCAGGTACCACATTTGGAAAGGGTGATTGTGCTGCAAGGAGAAACAGCTATTTCTGCCAAACTTCCTCATCCTCGTGCTTGCTCATGGTCTGTCTAATCCAGTCCAAGTAGCGCACCACCTTGGTGTAAAGACCAAAGGTACCGCATTTTGGCCCCCAGGAGACCAGCCCTGCGACATAGTATYGGGTGGCATTCAGGGGATCCGGGATGGCATAGGCTCCACCACTGTCCCCCTCACAGCTGTCCTTGCCACCACCAGCACAGATCATATTGTCGGTGAATATGTAAACGATGGAGTCGTCAGAGCCCTCTGGTTTCACAGACCGGCACTTGTCCATGTTCACCACTGGAATCTGGACCTTCCAAAGAAAAGCAGGGAGTCTTCCTACCTCTCTCCGGCCCCAGCCAGCAATGTAGCCCAGAGTCCCTTCTTCCAGCTCRTATTCAGGTGATTTACCAGGAAGACAGATGGGTGAGATGTTTGGACCAATCTTCACAGGTTCCCTCAGCTTCAGCAGTGCAATATCATTATCAAAATCGATCCTGGTTTCTGTGGGCTCCTCCTTCCAATCAGGATGGATGAATGTAGCTTCTGGGACCAGCTTTTCAGCATCCCATCTCAGAGAGTCTCTACGAACGTCGATTACCCCAGCGTACATGGTGGGGTTTTCATACCCCTCYAGCACATGAGCCGCAGTCATCACCCATCTGTCAGAGATGAGCACACCACTTGCTCTGGGGTCATTGAAATACACCTGCCAGGGAAAGTTGCCCAATTCTGCACGGGTGCCTCCAAAAATCCTTCCTGTGTCCTGGATGGGATTACTAGGCACCCCACAGACTAGAAAAACAAGAAAAAAATGATGAACCAGATAGGAGAATTAGCATTTACATACAAGGGGTTCTTTGGTACTGCTAAAAAGCCCATAAGCCCATAGACCCTATAGACCCCTCCTTCCTGTGTCCTCTAAATATTTTTTGAATCCAAGTAGCCATGTTTATATTCTATGCCACAGATCTTGCAAATAGTATTTACAGAAAAATCAAAGAAAATTTTAGCAAAACTACAATCAACACCCAATTTAGACTGAAATTCTTCATTCTCGAATTCAATTTTCTGGAAAGCAGTTCTCATCCTGACAGTGTTAGGTATGTCAAAGCTCACAATTTAATTGCCTTTTAGCTGGCATTTTCCTTTGCTGAATTATGTTCTTTAGATGAAGGGGTTGTCTTTGAAAAAATACTTGTTTGAGTTCTTAGAAATATGACACTGCTCTTTAAATTTTAATTTTTTTTTTTTTGTGAACTCCTGCTAGTCTCAGGTTAAGAGTTCAGGTTTGTCACTGATTTTTTACCATTTTTTCCTCTTCATTCTATTAGTATGTAAAATCTTAAGCAGTGGGGGATCTTATCTGTGAGTCTTACAGGTGCAGAAATGCTCCAGGCTTTTTGAGCAAGATGTTCAGTAACATTTTGCAGAATGTTAATGCGAAAGACATAAACAAGGCTGGTCATTCTGACATCAGTAGGAACTTGATTTCTTACCACAYTGCCTTGTTTACATTGAATCCTTAGTCAAATAATCAGAGATGACGGAATTATAGCCAGTGGGTAGCTTCCTATTTGCATGTAGCGAGGTTTATTAAAGAATTTCACACTATGATAGGAAGATTTAGACTGGAAGATAGTGCTTAGTGCCTCTAGTTCAACCTGTTCCTCTCTAACTGCCCTCCCCACTGCCCTCCTAACTCCAAAGCCAGGTTACTTAGGGGCTTTGACAGATAACTTCTGCTCATCTCCCAGGRTGGTGATTATGCAGCCCCTCTGGACAGCAGCTCCAGTGCTCTGGAGGAGCATTTTTCCTTAAACACAATCAGAATTTCSTTTGTTGCAACTTGAGCCTGTCATCGCCTTTTATTGCTGTGTCCCACTGAGAAGAGTCCGGCTTTATTTTATTTGTAGCCTCCTCTTGGGTAGCAAATTCCCTGAGCTCTTACAATTTGCCTTTTTCACTGTGTCTTGTATAGTCCAAGTCACTTTTTGAGCTGGCCCACAAGGGAGTTGAATCTCCTCCACCTGGGTCTTGTACTTTGCCAATGAGGATTTGAGGGTCTGAAGCAGTGAACAGGCATCATGTACAGCTAGACCAAGTCATTCTGCCTTCTTTAAGGGGATGAACTGAACAGTGTGCAGAATACATAGGTTTTAAAATTCTCTTTATCAGCTGAAAGTTAGGGGGAAAAACAARCAGAGGTGGAAGAAGCAGTGTTCTTCATATGCTGCATGAACATACACACAGTTTTGGGTAGTACCTGGGACACATTTTGGTAGCTTTGTTCCCATSTCTTTGTTGATCCATTCTCCACTGGCTGAGCAATGATACACCACTTGAAAAACATGGGGCAAAAAAAAAGAGTTCCATAAGGATCCAAGCAAGATGAACACAGGGTAAGTGGCATTACTGTATAGGATGTATAAACCTTCTCATTTCCAAAGCATACACAGCTTGGTGAACATTGCTGTTATGTCACTTCCAGGGTGCCTCTACCCCTTTTCCAAAGAAACCTCACCTAATAGATTTCTTGAGTCCTTTACTTTTCCACCAGAGCTCTGTGCTACRTGTGACAAAAGCCATCATGGTGCACTCACAAGGCAAATGCAGAGAGGACTTGTGAATGCATTTAAGGTCAACAGCCCGAGCACAGGCATCGTTAGAGTGTATTAAACACAGAGACAACACAAAACTGCTGCCTGCAACCCCACACCAGCCTTGACCTGATGGGATAAAATCCCAGCCCCATGAAGGTGCCAGAACCATTTCCTAGGCCTTTAACCAGAGGAATATGATGGTGTGGCAGAGGCAATGCTCACCATCCCCTGTGTTTTCCAGGGTGTAGTAGGGTGCCTCACACTGGTACCGGACAGCAGCTGTGTACAGAGGCTCGTGGAGTGTGGAAACGTAGGAGGCTTGGGCATTGTCCACAGGAGGGGGATCACCACAGTTCACAGCTGTAGAGAAGAAACAAAAAGGATCAAATATAATCCGAGGGGCACCCTCACTCAACAATATGGTTTTTCTGTATGACAGAGAACCACTCAGCTTCTCTGACCCCTGTGCAGTCATGTGGGCTCACTTTCYCTGTCCCTTCAGCATGCTCGCATCCCAGTCTTTCAGCATTCCCTAATATGGAGATATAGTGGATCTAGAGCCTAAACACTCCATTCCAGTTCCCTTCCCACAACACATACACGGGTCACTTACGAACACAGCTCAAATGGGAGTTGCTCCATTCACCATTTTCCTGACAGCCKGAGAGAAAACTTCTGATGCTATCTCGTTCCTAGGAAAAAGAACACATGATCCGTGTTGAGTCTCTGGACATGAAATGCATCTGACACAGGTGCTCCAGTGGAGGGGTCTCAAAATACTGCACTGGCTGGAAGAGGTGTCCTCTTACTACTACTGTGTAAAAAAAAACTTTGAGTCTCCAAAGGTACTCAGGACACCTGATGGGAATGGCCTCAAGATGTTGCTGAGTAGGACAGAGGGGACATATGAATTTTTTATTTAACTTACCCTCACAATTTCATAGCCTTCCACACAGGTCACACTCACAACGTCCTTTAAGATGTACTTGTCCTTCTTYGGTTCAAGAACAGAGTTGGGGATGACACTCATGGGACAGGTTATAGCTTTCAAAAGATAGGCAGAAATCAGTGATTAACTTGTTCAAGGTTTACTCTCCTTCSAGCTCCCAACTTCTTTCTCCCAAGTGATTTTTCCCCCTACTAAGCAGTCATCCTCCTTTTACTCCATACCAGCAGCTGTGAGCCTGTCAGCATGCTGTCATGCCATGAATGTGACCTGGGACAAGCCCTGTCCCTAACTCAGCAGCAGAGGGAACTCATTCCTGAGTGTTTACTCACGATCCCCATAGTAGCGTATTTTCCAGCCTTTGTGTTGCATGCCATGGTCTGTCTGGAAGGTTATGTCAAGAATGTTGCTCCTAGTTCTGATTTCAGGAGGACCTGGGAATTGGCTACCACAATAAGGACCAAAACGCTGCTTTCCAGAGACAATCTGGGAAAATACCAAACAGGAATAAATGAGAAATACCAAATGTATGGAGAGAGATATTCAAGTACACACTCAGTATGTACATATTCAAATGCATTCCCACAAACTCCAAAAGGCAACATAATTGAAAAGAAAGTTAAGCAGCCCCAGAGTCTTCAGAATATGAGGAATTTGATGGGAGATTCAGAGCACCCTGAGCTGCACACCTACTGTTAAACTGTCGTGGCAGGTCCCGTTGGGGTCGGCCGGTTCCACGTCGAAGTCCCCACTGCGTATGGTCAGCACCACGAAGTAGCCTGRGCTCAGAGACACTCGGTAGTCACACCTGGAGTTCTCTGGGTACTGGTTGGGATAGTTGGGGCTGGCAATCTCCCCTGTGGGCTCAGTGAAGACATTTCCACTGCAGTTCACTAGGATTAAGGAACAGGAGTAGGATTCAGAAAGGAAATGGTCCATGTGTGCCCCTGACAAGCTCACCCTCTTCCAGCCCATCTCCAGTCAGCCCAGCTACCTACAATAACCGTGTCCAAGAAATGCATCTTGTCAAGAAACTGAAGCCAGGGCCACTTTCTACACAGTAGCCAGGGTCTTCAACTCCTTTTTACCCTCCACCTGCAGTTTAGGCTCCCTTTCATCATGCTCAGGTCCTCACATTATACTCCTTTCAACATGTGCCATTTGTGACRTTGCAACTTTTTGATTCAAGCCAAGCAGGCCCTTGGCCACTTTTGTGTCTTTATGGAACTGCCCTGTATTGTCAGAGATTTAAAGATTCACAGATAGCAGTATGCTAAGAAGGGTGTCTATAACAGTCTTTAAAGAATGTCATTTAGTAGTTTCTTAAGTCTCTTGATACAAAAATAAAAACAAGATTGTTAAGAATATGTTAATAGAAATCCCCCAAATCACAGTCTACTGCAGTTCAGATTTTCATTGGGATGGAGTCCTTTTCCCCCAAAATATACTTGTTAAAAATGGCTGAGAAGGTTGTTAGAGGAAGTCTTCCAAATACAATATCCCACTTGGCCTAAATTAACTCTTGCTRTCGACCACAGCTCACACACATCTCTTACCTCCACAAGTTTTGTTATCTTCATAGAGGAAATAATCTGGTGGACAGCTACAGAAGTAACCTCCAATATAATTATTGCAGTAATGACTGCAAGGTTCGTCCACAAAATCCATGCACTCATCCACGTCTGCAAGTGTGAAAAGATGAATCAGCCAGAATAAGGAGAGGGCCCTGAAGGCAGGAGACAGTAAAGCAAACACTAGTGGACAGCAAGAAAAATGTATCTTTAAGGCAGTATTTATACTGGCCATACTGGAATGCACTTTTGTCTGCTGGGATCTCTTTAAATGAGGCATCTCTGTAAGAAAAACCCTCCTGTCAGCTTTCCTCCCAGTCTGAACASTACAGAGATTCAGAGGAGGCTGTTTTAACCTTACCCACGGCAGTGTAGTAGGCTGCAAAACCAGTGAAACGCTCCTCATTGGAAAAGTCTGATTGGAAGGTCACAGTGAGGGTGTTGTAAGGGACAAAAAATTCCTCCACAACCCAGGAGCCAGGGKCTCGAGGTTTCTTCTTCCCACAAAGCACACCTTCAACATAGCCACGAGACAGGATCTGCAGAAAATTCAGTCACCTCACCTCACTGCTTCAACATGTGGAATTAACAACACTTGAGTCGTTCAGCTTACAGRTGCTAAGGTGCAGCTGAATGGAGCCCCTAAACAACCAGTTTAATGATATTTGGGAGACACTTGTCGACTGCTCCTCCTACTGACTTACTTAATTTCTCAGATACAAATTAATCCAGACAGTTTGCTGTTAGTATCCTTTCTTCAGGCCCACTTGTACAAAAAGAACAACATGGTAATCCAAAGCAGAAAAAATCAACCACTCAGAGCAGCCTAAAGAACTCATCAATGTTGCAAAAGGACATATATTTATTACAGAGCACACCCATCCTTCTTGGGTCCTCCTCAAAGGTCCTCCTTTGCCCTCCTCTCCTTGGTCCTCCTCAAAGGTGTCCTGGTGCTGCACTTCCCCTTACTGCCCCTTTTCCCACAGAGCTATGGCAGGATAGGATGGTCTTGTTTCTGTCTGTKTCTGTGGAAGTGTTTGATCTTTTGTGCCTTGTGGGACAACGCGGAGCAGAGCTAGTTTTGAGAAATCTGTGGTGCATAGATCATAAAAAACTGTGGTGCAAGGGACCACAGAATTTTATCTGTATAGCCATTATCCCTTATAACCATTATCCCTACATAGATGAATTGGTTTCAGCCTCCACCCTTTCCAATCAAATTCTGATTGCAATAAATCACCTATGTCCACTCACGGATTAATTATGAATATTTTCAAGCATAGATAGCCATTGCCCTAAGAAAATGGTCTTTTTACCTCTGCACTTCACTGGGTAGGAGTATGCTTTGCAATGGGGAGGTGTCAGTGATGGTTAAGAAGGCTTTTCCTAAGAATMTGGGAGAAACATGGGATGGGGAGCATAAATGGGATGCTCAGATGGCATACAGCCCTGGTTATAAAGCAAACTCAAACTGATTTCATGACTKCCAGTGGAGATGCACTCAGTCATTTGGACTTCCTGGAGCTCAGAACAGGAAGGCTGTGCCTAATTCCTCTCCCAGCCCTGAGCTTTGTGCACAGCTTTGCTGTTCTGTGCTCTAACCTGCCTTCCTGACTTTTTCTYACTCGAGGTCATGGTCAGTACCTTCACAAAGTCATATTCACAGCCCTGYGATGCTTCAAGATCCAGATGTGTGAAATAAAGGTGAATGCCATATCCTGAAGGGACCTGGATCTCCCAAGATTGGTTCACATCATTGGGATACCCCTGGGGATAATTGGGTGACAAGATCTCTCCATACATGGAGGCCGCATCAGCCCAGACAGGGAGACAGAAGAAAATCAGGGACCTGAGAGTAGAGAAGAGAGGAGAAGATGATRTTGCAGAATTGCTCTCAGTCTGCACAGTTGCACAGCTCCCAGTGAACAAACCAGACTTTGGCTGCACACAGCCTGCAGCACAGCACTCCTGGCTCTGGAGTTTTAATGACCATTGCTGTGGCTGTGTGGAGCTTCTCTTTCCCTGTAGCTTTTCACACAACCTCAGTTGTGCTCTTTGCTTCTCTCAACCCCCGTAAGTGCTGGTAAAGCTGCAGGAGCTGAACACAAGGGTTGTAAGTGCTCTTCCCTACTCCTCACCCTGTTCTGGAGGTAGCCTGGTCTACAGATACATTCAGATTTGAAAATCAGTACAGTATCACAGGCAAAATACGTGGTTTATAAAATGCAATTACTAATAAACCTTGAGATTTAATAACTCACCACATCTGGAAAAAGCACTTCTTTCTTTCTGAAAACCTTCAGGAACTGGACTTTGGAGTTACGATCTGGGATAAAAACCGGTGTGATTGGTTAATGTWGCCTGTGCTTCTGCTAAGCAGGTCAAAGACCCTAAAACCCCAGCCTGTGAGGACTAGGTCAAGGTTTTGACTGAAAAGCAAGTTTATATCTCTGCCTCTTCCTGCACAGAGCAAACCCAAGAAGGGAGGCTAAGATCCGTGCAGACAAAATCTCTGTCGTGGTACTCACCAGTACCCRTGCTCTTCTCTTATGAGCATCAGTGAATCCAGACCACAGCAAATTAAGACAGAGAACACGTCCCCCACAGGTRCCCAACCCATTCTTCCCAGCACCTCAAAAATCATGCGAAGACCCTGGAGCTGGGGAGCATCTTGTCCTGACTCTTCTAGCTGTCAGACGCTGGGGAATATTCTGCYTTCTCAGTCCTAATGCCTGCAATATTTACCTTMTCTCCATAGTTCACGTCTGGTTTCCTTCTCTCTTCCTTTCTCTTYTTTTCTCTCTTTTTTCTTCCTGTTCACACCCTCCTGCAAACGCACCCAGAGCTGAGGTCTGGGGAAAGGAGCTCTAATTCGCAATATCGCAGCACCCTCTATCTGTGGGATGCAGCTTCCCAGCCTTCCTGATAGCGTGAGATGCTGGCTTTGAAAGCCCTCGGCAGGAAGGGGAATTCCCAGAAAGTTGCACAATTCTGTTGGCTGAAGTTGCCGTGGGGAGCGCACCGGTCTGGTTGCGTTTTCGGGAAATCAGATGACTTTGGGGAAAAGGGAGGGGAACAGAGTTTTCGGCTGTCTTCTCTATCCTCCTCTTCTTTCCCCTCCCTTTTAAAAACTGTGAACAACATCCAAAGGATGGAGAAAAGGGAGAGTCCAATGCTTCTGCATAGAGAAACCTGCTAGAACATCGTGTCCAGAGATCACTTTGGTGGAGTTCAGTCTCACTGCAACCTGATGGCCGAAGGGCTGCTRCTGCTGCTCCTCATCAGGTGCTTCAGGGACCCTTTTTAAGGGGAAAAAGAAAAGAAAAAAATAGTGGCCTATTCAATGTGGTGTTTCTCTGAGGCTGTTATCAGCAGGAGTAGGAGTACATGGTTTTGCTGTGTTTGATAAGGGGACGTTTAGCACTAGGAACACTTAACACCTTTTTATTTTACCAAGAGAGTTTCATGTAAGAGCATGTTCCTCATGTTTATGTTCATTAGACTTAGCCCAGGGGCAAGTTAGGTCTAATACCCTTACAGAAAGGAGTTTAAAGATTTTCTCCAGGTAGGACCCTTAACCCAGCCAGTGCCCACAAGCCATGACCAAACACAAGCTGAAATGTCTGTCATGAACACTCTGGAAACCCTGTCCTCCTCACAAACCAGCTGCACTGGGACCAGACTATAAATGAAAATACAAAACTCCATTACAACCTCTACCCTTTACAGTCAGCACAGCACACTCCAGAGCTTGTTTTAGACAGGAGAAAAAATGCTTCAAGTTTGAACAGGCCATAGACAAAGTGCATTAGCAAAGCTTATCTGAAAGAATTCTTTATATTGTCAAGGGAGAGAAACACCTCCAGATGAATCATAACTGACTTCACTGTAGTCAGGATAAAGGCTTTGCTTGAAGAACATGCCTAGTCTGTTTTCTTTGTCAAAATGAGAATGGAAAGAGAAAGAAAACAGAATGTCATCTCACTTCTGATGTCTCTTGGAAGCACAGCTTGATGTTTTGAACTGGAATTTTAAGAACCRGGAAAACAGTGATGAAAGATACACAAAAAATCACAGGGAGATGTTTTCTCCTCTGAGTTGTGTGAAGTGAAAACGTTGTCAGTGACTCTTCAAGACACAATCATATTTTAAAATGGGCATGGTGGAAATCAAATGAGTGTGAACTGTTATATGCATGTCCTTTTATTACAAGGGAATTCTATGTTTTCATATAAACCTGACTCTACTCGTTTATAGCAGGGGTAGATGAATATGTGCATGAATATTAATAATTCTTTAGAAATTAATTCAGAAATATTTATTATTTATCCATTAATTTCTATAAACTAAGAAAAATATTGCTGAAAATATTTAAATAAATAAGTAGCTGCATTTTATCTGGTCACATACTGTATAATGATAAYTGTTTATGCAAAAGACTGGTAATACTGGTATATATTTACRCTGAATACATACACAGCATTTGATTGCATTTTCTTAAATCTSTATTGCTTTTGCAACTCATAGGATGAAATGGCCAGGTAGTATATTTCACAATTCACTGCAACTAYGCCAGATAACAATTTAAGAGGCAAAATCATGTCATTAAGGTTARTAAGTGATAGCATTAAATTTACCCRTGCAATATAATTCTGCTCARAGGCACACGCATTTTCTTAAATTCCTTAATTATGTGACCACATACTACTTTTCCCGAATTGCATAAGACAACTCTTTTCTTAAAATGACTCAGAGTTGCGTAGCTGTAAACTTTCTGCCAGATGTTATGAAGCACATGAAGTAGTGTTCCAGGTTTCATAAAATTACCACTTAAAACAGGCTTGACTGACTTGTCTTCCCCCAGGAAGTTGGGGGAAAAAAGCTTTTCCCAAGTTCTTAAGAAAAGCCACAGACATCCCCATCTGGGAACACTGAGTCAACGCATTAAAAAAGGGCATAAACATCAAAAGAGAAGACAACATTAACTTAGTAACTCGAGGGAATATAAGTAGCAGGGAATCAAGGATACAAAATAAGAAGCAAAATATCCTAAATGTASCAAGACCCTGGCAGTAATTTGCCTGTTTCCCATTCTGCCAAAAGAGGGTTCAGTGGGTTTCCTGCACACTGCACATCCCACCTCCCTCTTGTGATCCAGRCCAGTTTTGCTGCCAATCATTAAAYTGGGAGCCTTTGACAAACCCCAGGAAAACCTGGCAGTGCAGGTGTGTTCTGGCTCAGAACCATTCAATATAACTCGCTGATTTCCACCTCTGCAAACTCTACCAAGGGGATTTTCACCAGAGTCTGTTCACCTCTTACTCTCTCATTCAATGAGTCTCAATGCAAAGTTTCCACCATCTCGCAGTAAAACCTGGGTCTAGGGAATACTCTGCTCAGTGCAATGTACCACTGAAATGCCTGCTGCCTTCTGACTTCATTCCCCTAGTCCCTGGGGTGTTTCATCCATTACAGTAAAATACTCYTAAATACTTGGGCTTACTTTCACTGAATTATGGAATGGTTTGGGTTRGAAGGAACCTTAAAGGTCGTCTAGTTCTGACCTCCTTGCCACGGGCAGAGACATCTCCCATTGGACCATGGGGGCTCAGRGCCATCCAACCTGGCCTTGAACTTTTCCAAGGATGGGGCATGCACAGCTTCTCTGGACAACCTGTTCCAGTGTCTCATCACTCACACTGTAAACAATTTTTCCCTAGTATCCATTCTAAATCTGCTTTTCTTCAGGTTAAGGCCATGCCACCTTGTCCTGGCAYTACTTGCCCTTGTAAGACATCCCTCTCGAGCTCTCTTGCAGCCCCTTTAGGCACTGRAAGGTGYCTTCTCTTCTCCATACCGGGCAACCCTAATTCTCTCAGCCTCTAAACCACTTGACTGTAAACTGCCGTAGCCACATCCCCGCGGCAGAAGGGCCCGCCGGTTCTCCCGGATGAAGTCGCGGGGCAGAACCGGCTCGCCGGTCCCGGCAGCACCGAGAGGCGGCAGCAGAGACCGGCGAGCCCCGTGGAGTCCCGTTCGGGAGTGCCCGCTCGGTCCCAGAATGGATGTCGGGGGGTGATTTCCCTGACCCGCCGTGGGTGACACGTTCCGGTCCCGGCACGGAGCGTCCGAGCGCACCCGCMGCCACCGGGGCCACGAGCTGCAGCTTCCCCTCTCCGCGGAGCACGAGTGGGGAACGGAGCCGTCGGTGCCTGAGAAACGGCGCCTGACATCGCACAGGACAAGAGGAGACAGCCTCAACCTGCCAAGGATTAGGTTGGATTTAGGARAAAAGTCTTCTCCGAAAGAGTGGCTGAGCATTGGAACAGGCTGCCCAGGGAAATGGTGGGATCACCACCCCTGGATATGTTCAGTGTTAGGGTCATGGTTTGGCGTGGACTTGGCAGTGCTGAGTTAATGTTTGGACTCCATTATCTCAGAGGCTTTTYCCAGCCTTGATTCTATGGTTTATTAGTGCAATAATCTTCGCACTCAAAAGGTGACATGATTTCAAGCATACTTAGCTGTTGGGCCCACACAGATACCCACCTTTGATACCCACCAAATCAAGAGCTTCTCTGTCTCTCTGGTTTTTCATTCACCCATTCCTGGCTTTTTTCCCCACTAGATCCAAGGTCACCCATTCATTCATCCTTCTAATGAAAACTTRTTTTCATATCTTTCCCTGTGTGTTATTCCAAACAGTTTCCTGTCTCCCTCTCCACTCCATCTCTTGCTAATGGTTATGAAATCAYGGTATAGCGAAAGGACAGTAAATAAAGATTTTTGGCTACACCCCCTCCTCTCAAACATTACACCGCCCTGATTATTAAAATAATGACACTACTGAAAAATCGTGGTACACTCATCATGATCTGAATTTCAAAACCTGCTCACAGAGCWACTGTGGTCTGACTCCAAGTGGCTATCTATCATTTAATCTAAACAGGTCAAATATAGCAACATTTCGAGCAACTGGAAACAATCTTGCAATGGAAACTGTTAGGCAATCTCCGGAACAGATGCCGCTTCTAAAACCCCTCTCTGACAACAGCAAATTACAGAATTAAACKGATCATTTCTTATCAAACATGACTTGAGGAGGGACAGACAGTCATCMTGCTCATGTAGAACTCATTTACTTAGGAAAGTGGCCTAAACACCAAAACCACACAACTGAACATGGAAATGAGAGACAGGTATTCTGTGGAAAGCCAGTCCTTGGACTTTGCAAAAAAATTGGCAGATTAGTCCACTAGTTAGGGTGGACAAATGCAGAACCCTGTTTGTTAGGTCTAACCTGATGGAGTCAACTGTCCAGGGGAGTTTTTAAGCCCTTGTTATACATCTTAACCTGCCACTCTGCACCTTACGCTGTCTCCAGGGAATTTCTGGAGAAGACCAGGGCTTC